CGAAATAAGCACCAGATCCATCCAGTGCCCTACAATTCACAGGTGTCTCTGGGTTTGTGGAGACTATCATACACTTTCCCTGTAGACCAAAGAACTGAGTTTGCCTTTTGGATGACTTTGTGCCAAAATAAATCTGGAGTTAGCAGTGGGAATACACAATATTTAGCTGGGATAACCTTTTAACTGTTATTAAGTCAGTCCTGAGAATAAAATAAAATAATAATAATAATAAAATAATCTCCAGATGATGGTTTGTGAAAAAAAATACAAACCTTTTTCTGTGTCTCTTCCATGCCCTCCCCTCAAGGGAGGTTTGGGTAGGACATTGGCTGGGACCTTATTTTCATTTCCATTGGGAATGTATTTTAGCTGGCACACAAACCACACGCAAATAGCCCAGGAGTTTGGGAAGCTGCTTTACTATTTCCTCCTATAACTAACAATGGAAACCCTTTGAGAACTGTACGAACCTCTGTGGAAGTTCACAAGTCTCCTGACATACGGGATTAGCCGCTGTGCCCAAATATTTATCCTGATGGCGCTTCTCCCTGAGGAGCAGCTGGCTGCCTGCTCTACAAAGTGCTGGCCAGCTGTGGGCAGAAAGGTAGTGGGGAGGCTGGAGCTGCTGGCTCCACCACAGAGCTGCGTGATGAGGAGAAAAGCTGCTTTGCAAATATGATTTAGGTTGATCTGAGTTTATTCTGTCACAGTGAATTCAGCATCAAATGAAAAAGAGAAAGCAGAGCAGCTGCCTTGTATGCAGAATTGGCCAGTTCCAGCGTGTAATAGGTTAGCTCAGTGCACTTACACTTCTTTGTCTGGCTTGGTGAGTCTCTGATTTGTCTTCATTTTTATTCCTGTCTCTGCCTTCACTCTTCCTGGCCAATATTTAATAGTCTGTTTCTCTCTGGATTGATTGCATGGAGTCTGCCTCACAGAGCTGGGCAGAGCACAGGCTGATCCTGTTCAGTGTGTACAGATATTTCGAAATTATCTGCTAATACGAAAAATGAAAGCTCAGCCTCTCTTGCTGACAGATATTGAACTTAAACAATTCTGAGAGTTAATTGTTTCACATGGTTGATGCTCACAGAAACATGAAAAATTTCAGAGATTCATCTTTAGGAATACAGGCACTTTATGGCATCTTTTCTCTGTTTAAAGCCCCTTAAAAGAAAATAGGATGTAGACAAACTACCTGCATAAGTCAGTTTTGAAAACAGGACCTAGACTTCTTAAATTGGCATGTAAATATCTTCATAAATCAGGTAGCAGGTTATGGCTCTGTGAAGCTTTGTAAATTATTTTGAATGTAGACAAGAGCTAAAATAGAAACAGCAGTATGCTCTAGGAAACATATTGTAGCTGCCCTGCACAAAGCATTTCTATCCCTCCAATAGTGATCTCAGTGTCACACATGGCTGTGCTGAAGTGGGTATGAGCGGCGAGTTTCTGTGCCCCTGGCAGTATCCCTGTCATCTTGGAGAGATTCCTTACTCAGATGCATTGCAGAATGTGGTGGTGCTCAAGGAAGAGAGGTATGGAGCCTTTTCAAATGCAACTCGTATCTGAAACTCAATTTGAAGAGAAGCAAAAGTGGCCCAAGTTTATCAAACATGAGCAGCTGACCAGCCAGGAAGGGAAGCACCTCACAAGAGCTCATCAGTGGTGGGCAGGCAGCTAGTCTGCAAAGACGATTGCAGTGCCTGGCCTCAGTGACCCAGCTGGGAACTTCATTGCACTTTAGAGCATGGCTAAACCCGGGACTTGGGGCACACTCTGCTGCTCAGGAGCAAACTCTGCTGCTCCCCGCAGGGAGATGTCTGTGCGGTGGTGTGGCAAAGCTGCTGTCAATAGCAAGCATACCTCCTAGTGAAGCACACTGGTATTTTTGGAGCATGGCTGTTTTGAAGGAGGCAGCTCCTTTCCAAAGCTCAAGTGAGCCAAGGGCAATACATTGCCATATAATGGGCCTATTTCTTTTTATTTGTCTGTTTATTTATTTTTGAGCAATGAGACACAGACAGAAGGTTCAGCTGACTGAATTAGAGGAATCTCTTTGTAATAGGACAAGGTGTTAAAACCTTCCTGCTGAAAGCCAGCTGAGGCCCCAGCTTTGGTCTATGCCTGGGGTTGACAGCAAGTTAATAGGAATGACTGAACCCAACACTGGCTTTGCTGGCTCTTGTTGCAATAACTCCACCAAGCCCAGTAGGGAGTACTGAAAATCTGGCCCATTACAAATTTCAATAATGAATATTCCTGTCATTTTGTCTAAGATAGGGTATCCTGTTAGAACGCATGGTTATATTAATTTTGGGGTTTATATCCCGCACTTTACCATCTCTTAAAATTTACGTTAGGATTTAAATGGCGTATTTCACAGACAGGAAGGTGATTTTTTGGCACCAAAGAAATGTGTGTGGTACATAGAGATCATTGAATATACAACCAAACTACATTTCTGTTCAGGGTAGTATTAGAACTGCACTAGATAACAGAACAGGTTTAGTCCAGGAAATGAACGGTGCTTTATGTAATCAAATCTGCAGGAGAGATTTGGCAAGAAGGATGCATACAGACAAATTATTGCTGAGTCTGGACATGGTATTAAGAGCATTAATTTTTAAGTTGTGGGGGATCACTAAAGATCTGCATGAGAGGAAAAGCGTACACAGCCTCCATTTATTTAAATCAGACCAAATACTAGCAGAGACACAGACTCTAAAACTAAGTCAAGGTATTAGTGCATTGTTTATGCGAAGGAGTTAGTGTTGCTGTTTTTGTGGTCTTACGGCTCTTTCTTAAATACACTCAGAGCTCAGTATTGCAGGTTCTGCAAGCTCGAGGTGGCCTCAGTTTATGTGTTTATTAGGGAGAGGCAATGAAGGCACGTTGTTACTTTGGAGAGCTGAGTCCTACTAGTGGGAGAGCTGCTTCTACCAGCAGGCCCTTCCTGGGCTGAAAAAACATGCTGGCTCCTTTGCACACATGAGCCACATAAAACCCCGTTTTAATGTGTTATATCAGCAGAATGTCTTCCTCAGGGAGGAGCCTTCCTTCTACCCCTTTCAAACCCAACAGTTTCTGTCAATCAGCTTAGTTATACTCAACCCCATTTCAAAGTCTCACTCTCCAGTACTGAAGATACCATGCTTTCCAGGTGATTCCAACAAAATACACCATATAAAATAAATGGATAATCCTACAGGGACACATCTTTCCTGTTTCCCAAGACTGGGGACCATTATCCGCAGCAGACCAGGCTTTGCCAGCTCACACAGAACATTCCCAGGCCTGCACTGGCCCCATGTTTTTTTCTGCAATGCAAAGAAGTACAATGTTATTTCAAATGAATGCTGTGTGTTCCCCTGCAGCTCCAGGGAGAGGAGGATGGATGTGCTAGTCCTCTGACCTTTCTCATCCAGGCTGGAGAGCAAAAAAGGTGTCTTTGTGTCTGCAAGAGAAAACGGTATGTAGGATCTCCTCAGACAGCCTGCATTGCTCATTACTATCACACTGAAAGGCTACAGAAGAGGTTTGGCATTCTCCATCCACCCTTGGAGGATTTCCAGACCCAAATAGACAGGGCCCTGAGTAACCTAGTCTGATCTCAGAGCTGTCCCTGCTTAGCAGGGGTTGGACTAGAGACCTCCTGGGTCTCTTCCAACCTCAACTACTCTCTGGTCCTATAAAACAAGCTGTGTTTTGAAAGTATACAGAAGAGATTTTTGAGAAACCTAGGTGCTATGTTCATAAGCTTTTAATGGGAACACAAAGCTTGAATCAGACCTCGTATGCACTGTTGCCCACTCAAGAGTAACATTACTGAAATGAACTGATATGTAGCATCCATTTAGTACCTAGGTACTGCTTGGACCTCATATTGAATTATGTGGCAAAATGGTTGTGCTAAAGAAGAACATTTTTTCGGTGATTTACAGCTGACTCCTTTTCCTGGTTTCAGCTGGGATAGAGTTCTTCCCAGTAGTGGGTACAGTGCTGTGTTTTGGTTTTAGTCTGAGAACAATGCTGATAGCACACCGGTGTTTTAGTTGTTGCTTAGTAATGCTTACCCTGATTAAGGACTTTTCAGTCGCTCATGCTCCTCATGCTGGTGAGGAGGGGCACAGAAGCTGGGAGGGAGCAGAGACAGGGCACCTGACCTGAACTAGCTGGAGGCATATTCTGTACCACAGAACATCATGCTCAGCATATAAACTGAGGGGACTTGGCTTGAAGGGATGGATTGCTCCCTGGGGATGGGCATCAGACAGTGCATGGTGAGCAGTTGTATTGTGCATCATTTCTCTGTCTTGGCATTTATTTCACACTGTCTCTCTTTTTGTTAGCTCCCTTGTCATTACAATTGTTATAATAATAATTATTATTATAATATTATATTTTAGTCGAATTATTCAACCGTTCCTATCTCAACAGATGGGTTTTACCTTTTTCCGATTCTCCTCCCCAACCCACATGGAGAGGTGTGAGCAAGTGGCTGCATGGTCCTTAGTTGCTCGCTGGTGTTAAACCATGACACTGCTCAAGAGTTTGGAAGGACAGTTCAGGATTCATTCATAACTGGAGAGGGTATATGGCAGTCTGAGTTGGGGAACAAAACAGAATTGCTCGGACTGGATTTGATTCCATACACCTATCAGAACATCTGTCCACACACAGCCGCTGTGTGAGCATGGTCATTAGAAGCCTCTCCTACGAACTCTGGACTTCATAGGAGGGGGCTGAGTGAGGACAAACATAAAGGAGGATCATTCACCAGGGCACTGCCAATGCCACTGTTGCAGGGATGGAGCTTTGGAGCTTTTATCTTATCCTGGAGACCCTCACCTGTAAACCTAAAAATCAGGCATGTCACCTTGATAGTATTAAGGAGGAGGTATTCTGGAGATATGAAAGCTCTTGTGTTTAGGTGGGGTAAACATACTTTTATAATTTGGGTTTTCTCATTAGGATTCCATGGAGAGAAGCAGTGCAGAGTATGTACTAGTGTTATTTCACACGGTAGCATCTCTTTCCATATTTAGAGAGCATGTTCTGATGGTGTTAATTTTTATGCTGTGCTTCTTCTAGGCACAATACACTAGAAATTTTGTGAAACTCACTCTTCCCAGCCTCAAAAAATACATGTATTTGCGGCTCTGCCCTTCAGATTTCAGAAATTCCTGCAATACGGACTTAAAGTCAAGTTAAAAATAACACTACATTTTCACCAGCAAGACTGAAAATCAGATGTCACCCCACCCGACCTCAATTAAGTCAGGCAGAATCTGCTGAAGCAGCTGGATGGGATCAAGCAGGGTGTGAAAATCTGTGTTCTAGCACTGGGGAGAGAAAAGATCAGTTGGAAATTTCAGTGTGAAGCTGGTTCCGTATGAAGTGGAGAATTTCAAGTGTGAATGCGTGTATGTGTTCATGCATGTGCTGGGGAAAGTAGGGTTGGCAAGGGAGACAGAGGAGAGCTTTGTGTTCAGTGCTTCCTCTGACACAGCTCAGCCTGTTCCCTATCTCCCAGTTTCACTTCTGAATGTGCAGGAACATGCGGTGGCTCCTTTTTCCCACCATCTTCATCATCCCTTGTACCCAGCAGGTAAGTTCATTAAAAAGAAGAAAAAGATTTCTCCCTTCTTCACTCTGTCCCAGTTTTAAGCTTTTGTTTGCTTAATGACAAAATAAATTTCAGAGAAGCAAAGTCCTCTTAAAGAATAAGGAGCCATTCGCTATGCCTGAGTACATTTCATTTGCAGCTTATTTACTGGATCAGTCCTGATTTTGGTATTTTTTTTTTTTTCTCTAATCTCTATGTTAATATGAGTCAGTGAAAAAAAAACGCGTTAGGGAAGCTTAAATTGCCAGCAACCTTGATTTTTATTTTTGTCCATGCTTATATTCCATAGAAATGTATATATACATGGATATATGTATATGTACATGTAAGGGGTGGTCTGACTTCAGGCTGGGTTTTAAAATGAGAAAGGCACCTGGACTCTGAAAGACCTGAGCTTTGTCTCTTATGAGAACCCGTTAAAGGATAGCTTGTGCTGAAGGTATTTGTGACAAAGGCCAATTTTGTTATTTACTTCATTTTGAAAACCCACTTTACTTGCTGGTGACTGTGTATTTTTCCTTTATGAACAAGATGAATGTCAAATGGAGAATTTTCAGATGAGTGTCTCCCTCCGCTAACTTTGCATATTTAAAGCCAGACTAAGATAACCAAACAATAGCAATAAAACATTGTCTGCCTTTGCTATTTGCTTATTTGTGCCATCCAGACCTTGTTCAATCTTTAAAATGTAAGAAAACAAACAACAACACCTGAAGGGTTCCCGCACAATGATCTCATTTTCCACTCTGCCATAGGGTCAGGAAAAGCTTGCAGTGTGCTTGTGGGGTGTGGATAGCTTTGGTATAGAAACTTTGGGAAGCAAGAATTAGAAAAATATTTGCTGTGAACTTGACAAACTTTAAATTTTCATTGTAACTTAATAGATTTGGGATTTTTTTTCAGGAAGATTTTCCTGGTAGGCTGAGCTCCTCAGTAATTCTACAGTTATAAGTGTCAGGTATTTGCCTGATGGTGATTTTCTCTCTGTGAAACTTTGTAGTCTCACACCTTTCAGTTGACATCTTTCCCTACGGAAAGGAGAGAAAAATCACCGGCTTAAGTAGAATCTTGTAGGTTTAAAGCATGTTTTAATTTGCAGTACAAATTAAACATATGGGTTGAAGCACACAGATTATTTCCTGCTACACATGCCTATTTTGAAAAGCAGTATCTGGTTTAAGCCACATAACCTCATATAGCTGGCACATGGCCAAATTCCTAACAATAATCCTCTGCTTAAAAAGAAGAAAAGCAGCAAGAAAGTGTTTCCTAAAACAACCATACAATTTTGAACACTGCTAAATATATAGGAATACCTGTGTGTCTTATTTCCGGAACAAGTCTTGGAGAAGCTTTACACTCCAACGCAAATGTTCATCAAATTAACGTTATGGTTTACAGAAAAAATCTTAGATGCCTAAAAAAAGTATACCTAAGTTAGTTGTTTCTTTATTATTGCTGCTTTCAGGTAAAAAATATTAGAAGAAATCTTCTGCATGCTGAATGGAATACCACATGACATTAATATTCATTTATTATATGAATTGCCTCTGTGAATTAATATCTATCTTAAAAATCATTCAGCCAAAAGAACTTGAAAGCTACTATTTTGGAGCTTCATTAGTAGCTGTGAATTAAGATATCGTAAGTATAGTTGTAAATGACCATGAAAAATGGAAATTAGGGGTAGAAAAAAGCCTTTTAAAAGGTCATTTACTGCTGCACACAATTAAGCGATATCAATTATGCTGTGAGAGCTTTCATGGGATGTGACATATGAAATGCTGAATTCTGCAGATACTTCCAGTTTCAAAGCTGAACTGAAAGAAAACCCAGCCAAAAGATCCCTTCCCCAGCTTTCCCTTAGCGTCTGTGCTGGAGGTGGTTTCTACATCAGTTGAACCCTGCAGTTCAGGGGAACAGAGAGAAACTGAGAGGTGGCCTTCATGTGCCCACAAAAAGTATAGGCTATATATGTATATATATTACTTGTTTTCTGCAAGCTCAATGGTGATACTGGCGCCTGATGAGGAGCTGGATCTTGTTTGTCACTCTTGCCCTGTGGACTGTCAGAGCTGCTTGTAGAGAGCAGCTCCCAAGCCTTACATTGTGCTGGCAGCCAAGTGCTGTGTGTGCCCCAACTTAACTATGGATCCAGTCATCCGTGATGAATAACTATATCACAATCTGCATTTCTGCTGAAATCAGCAGCATGGAAAGATTTAACGCTAACATCTGAACTGTTATGTTTTAGATGCTGCTTTTCAAAAAAGCAGATAGAATATAGCTATCTCAAAGAGAGCCTTTCACACTCTATGCTGACTTAATCTTCCCCCATGCCTCAAAAAAATAAAGCTATCAAGAATTACTTAGGCTTCCTTTTCTTAAAAAAGAAGAGGAATCTCCCCCATAAATTCTGAAACAGAATATGGAAAACAGTAAATTCAAGCTAGATCCCGGCTTCCTACTGCTGTTAAAACTCTTTTTTAGAGATACATCTTCACCCTTTAAGCCTTGGATTCAGTTTAACACTTACTCATGCAAATACTCTTAGAAAATGACCCATTAAGCTCAGTGTAACTACTAGCCTCCCTTATTGGGAGCCAATTTTTGGATCTAGCACAAGAGGATTTGTAAATCCCACCATGTTCTTTCCCAAACAGCTACTCAGATTTTGGAGTGAAAGGAACTCTCAAAAGAGGTTTACTATTTTATAAGGCTTTTGCCATCAGCAGTGGACACAGGGCAGTTGCTGGCTATCAGACAGTGGGAGGAATCAAAAGTTAATTAATTTGACAGGACATTTGTGGGAAAGAATATTTAAAGTAAATCCACCATCTACTTGAAAATACTTTTTTTCCCCTACTTTAGCTCTACTACGGGTTTTGCTCTCTTGGAGGCAAAGGAAAGGCTGATGAATTGTGTTTTACACCAGCAATAGGTAAGGCTCACTGGCAGAATGTCACCTCAATGAATGACAGACGATCAACGGAACTGGTCCTCTGTCTCCTACCTAAACCTCACAGCTTCTCACTTTTGGATCCTGTGAGATGAGAAACGTTAAGTGCCTTCATGCAGTGTCACAGTTTTATCCATCCCAACTTTGTTTTATGCCATCTCACCTATGTATAATGCATTGGCCTCTCAAAATATCCCACCGTGTGTAAGTTTTTCCACAGCTCACCAGTGAAGCCTGGAGAGAAACCTTCAGAAACTGGTGAAACCCACCAGCGCAAGGAAGTTTGCCACTGGCCATGCAGATGCCCTCCGGTGCCAACCTGCACTCCTGGAATAAGCTTGGTGAAGGACGGTTGTGGCTGCTGTAAGATCTGTGCCAAGCAGTCAGGAGAGACCTGCAATGAAGCAGATGTCTGTGATCCCCACAAAGGCCTCTACTGCAACTACTCGGAAGACAAGCCTAGGTATGAAACAGGCGTGTGTGCATGTAAGTTGTTCTTCCATGTTCCCTTCTTGAAATCCAGGAGGGTGGGACCACACAGGTGCTTTTGGAGGAAAACTGTACTTGCTGGCCCTGCACAGCTCTGTGCTAGGCAATTTATCCTCATTTAATCCTTTGACTGCTCAGTCAAGGGATCTGAGAGTAGGGCTGGGACTGTCTTTAGGCATACCGATATATGCATTAGTGAAATCAGTTCATTGTGCACAAGCCTGTTATTTGCAGTCATGTTGATGACTGATTCAAAGCTAGGTGTCTGTAAGTTATCACAGGGCACAAATAAAGAAATATGTGCTTGTGCTGGGAAGAACATGTGGGTGCAGTAAAGGCTTTCCCACTCTGTAATCAGGAACCACGTGCTCCTCCTGTGTTAGTAACTGTTGTTTACCATTTGCAGATCTGATAGCTGTGGGATGTGAGATCAATGGAGTTTATTATTTTAACGGCCAGACCTTCCAACCTAACCCACTTTATAAGTGCCTGTGCATCAGTGGTGCAATTGGATGTACACCTGTATTCATACCAAGATTAGCAGCAAGTCCCTGCGGCAGGGTCACGGGCAGAAAGAAGCCCGGACAACCCATCTGTGGCCCAGGACAGCACAAGCAGCTTCAAGCAACAAACTACAGACTGATGTCAGGTGTGCCTGGCTACACTGGTAAATGTTTCTGTCCATAAGCCTTGTTGCATTTAGTGTCCCTGGCTCAAGCAGCCAGGCGGGCAGCACACTGGCACTTCCCCAGTTCTTGCTGAAGGCCATTGCCAGGATGACTTGTCTGTCCCAATTACCCCTCTTACTCTTAGGTCACAGACTCTTTTCTCTAAACCCAATGAATATGCAAAGCAAAAAAGCCTTTTGGCTTCTGTCACCAGTGAATTGGCCAAAGCTACCTCCAGCCCATCTTTCTGCAGAAGTTTACTACTCATCAGATCAGACCAATTAGGGCTGCTGGTGGACAGCCATTTCACAGCCTAGGACCTGTCTCGCTTTCTCCTGCTTTGTCCCGGTTTTCACATACATACACTAATGTGTTGGAGGCCTCTTTCAATAGAAAGCAGAAAATTGTAAAAAGTGCCTTAGTGGCTTTCCTGAATTCACAAGATTTGAGGTTGCTGCAAGGACAATGCTCTCCTCAATTTCCTCTTGATTCAGTCTGACCAAAAGCTTACAAGAGCTTACTCATAAAGTTCTGCCAGGGTCAGCTGATACTCTCTTTAACCTCATTCTCACTCTTCTGCTAACACTGTAGCTCTCCTTTTCACTTTAAGGAAGCAGCATTGCCAGGAGCATCTATCCTGGCCCATGCCTGGCCACAGCTGCCTGTGCTTGCGCTGTCTCCTTCCCTGTGCATGTGCAAGTTTCCACAGTGAAACTCAGCTCTGTTACAACTGCTGTGGGTACCAGAAAGCTGAGCCATTTACTTGGTGGCAGCTTGAACTGTGGGGAAATTAGGCCTGAATCATCATCATGAATCAATAAAATAAAAGGATTGCAAAGCTGATCAGAAAACCTTCATAAAAGGCAGCTGAGTAAACAGGTAGAGGCATCTAAGTCAATCCGCAGATACACAGACCCACTTACAAAATCCAAAGTTCAGTTTTGAAAACTTCTGTTAGCAGTACTTATGCAAGTTAGCAAAAAACAAAAAGCAGCTCATCTTTACTTCAAAATTATGATACAACACCTATAATTCATATCAAAGCCTTTTTACAGAAATCTACTTAATGCTGTGTACAAACACACACTTCATGAGGCAACTGACTTCAAATGACTTCATTTCTAGAGAGCATCTCTAATCAGATCAAAGAGAAAACACAGAGCTTTGAAAACAATGGCAACCAAACCATCTGACCCCATGCAATATATTAATTGGGTTTGTGGGGAGCTGTATTTCAGATATCTGGAGAACAGGACTGAGGCATTTACTTTGTAGTGCTTCAAAAGCTGCATCCCAGCCTGTAGTAACTCCTTCATTGGCTGCAACACTGCACCACTGCACCTCACAGCGTTTGTTCTAGAATTTGAATGAGCTGTGCAACACAATCTTGAGAAAACCCATCCAGCTTGCAAAGCATACTTCCTATGTGCCTTGGCAACCCAACAACCTGTCACTGCGATGGCTGTACATGCTGAAGGATGCTATTCCTTAGGTGATATAAACCCTCTGAAGAAAATCATCTTGAAAGTTTTGTTTCAAAGTGAGGTCTGCCCCTTCCCAGTGCAGCAGAAGTATCATGTCAGCTATGAGTGGCTCAATAGGCTGATACAGATTTTGAAGAGTCTTTTCCTGTTAGTGTGGCTAACGAGTGCTAAGTTTTGCTTTACTGCTCTTGCTCTGTTTTCTGGCTTTCCTGGTGAATTTGATTTACCTCCTTCAGACACACAGGGATGTGCCAAGGTCATATTTAAAAAACATGTGACAAGTATAAACGACCACTGAACTTCCCTTTATTTGTTGCAGATCTCTGAGAGACTTTTAATCTGCTTGCTGCAATGAGATCTTTAAATTGCAGTCTACTTCCCAGGTAGCATTGTAATTCTGCCCATGCTCTTGACTAAATACACAGATTCCACAGTCAGGTGGGTTTTTCAGTTCCACCGTTAACTTTTCCACCACAGTTTTTTTAAGTATACTCCTCCTCCAGCCCTAATCCATCAGGAAATAGACTTTTTGGTGGTGTCTGTAAGCAACTAGAGAATTTTATCCCTCAATAAAAAAAAGCTAAAGCCCTCACAGTATCTACAAAGAAACCAACACTGATGTTTTCAGCACTCCTTTTCAAGCTATGCTTGGCTTTAATTTTCAATGTCTCTTCCATTCTGGACATTTCATAAAGATTCCACAAATAACTCTCTCCATGTAACATTTCTATCATGTTAAACTGAAGGGTCAAACAACATGTGCAATTTCACAATCCTGGGGTGGTTCTGCTACATATATAATGTATTGCTGTCTTAGCTTACAGAAGCTTACCATTAGTGTTGAAGAAAAAGTGCCTGGTGCAGGCAACTCCCTGGACACCGTGTTCCAGGACCTGTGGCATAGGCATATCCAGCAGAGTGACCAATGAAAACAGCAAGTGTGAAATGAAAAAAGAGAAGAGGTTATGCTTCATCCAGCCTTGTCTGACCAATACATTGAAGACAATAAAGGTATTTTCTAATATAAAATGGCTTCCTAATAGAACATGAAAATATTGGAAGTAATGGAGTCATGGATGTATTTGTAACTACTAATATAAAGTGACTTTTTTATTAAGGGTTTTGAAAGAACTCTTCTGTTTTCTGCCTTCAGTCTTCAGGTTTCAATAGTAAACTACAGATGTGTAATTTCAAACAAAGTGTTACATTGGCCTGAAATATAGGTGCTGCTAGTGCTGTCTTGGTGCTCAGAAAATATTTTCTATGTAAATGTTGCCATTTTTTTTCTTATGTTTTGTTTTTAATGTTTAAAACCTCACAGGCTTTTCTTTATTTTTATATTAAAGATTCCAAAAGGGAAAACATGTCAACCAACATTCCAGCTTCCTACAGCAGAGAAATTAGTTTTCTCTGGATGCTCAACTACTCAAAGCTACAAACTAACTTTCTGTGGGGTGTGCTTGGACAAGCGGTGCTGCATACCTAATAAGTCCAAAATGATCACTGTACAGTTTGAGTGTCCCAGCGAAGGCTTCTTTAGGTGGAAGATGATGTGGATAACATCATGTGTATGTCAGAGGATTTGCAGTGCTCCAGGAGATATATTTTCTGAACTCAAACTTGTATGACAAGTTACACCATTGACTGTAACCCGCTGGGAGTCCAACAGCACATTCACACCCAGAAGAGTTAGCATAGTCCCCTGCCACACCAACATTCATAGTGAAACTACATATGGGAATACTCATTCATTAAATATCATCATCAAGCACCTAAATAAAAGTAAGAGCGCATCTTTTTAAATGGAATTGGTTTTGTAAGTGGAAGTACGTTCTTGAGAAGGATGTATGTAACACTAGTACTACCAAAACAATAACTTTTGGCAATTGCAAAAGGCACAGCAAGACAGCTTCATACCCCACCATAAGAAGTTGTTGCTCACAAAGACAAATACATGCAAATTCATAGATGCTCTGACCTATTAGAAAAAAACCCACCACTCTGTAATACTTCATCTATCATTCCCGATTCTCAAATTAACATTTTCTACTGTGTATCTGCAATACTAAAATACATCAATGCTGTCTCAAACAGGGGAAGTCATTTTAGGCTCAGACAGATTTATCTGCTGCATAAAACATTCTCTAGTGCTCTGAATTTAAACAACACACTGGTAAAGGAACAAGTAAGCGGGCATCTGCAGATAACAGATACAACATTTCAAGGAAATGACTACTTTTAGGCTGTTTTCTTAAAAGAAAATGCTCTCAACAAATGTTATCACAATGTTTTATTGAATACTTCTGGACTTACACATTGAAAATTGTGCTTATTTATACACCTCCTCCAACTCTGCTAGAAGGACTTCAAGCTTTAAGAAATCATTGTATTGATCCAGTCTGACTTGTAAGAGTTCACTAGTCTTGATGTTCTAAAACAGCCAAGGCTGGCAAGCAACTGGAAACAGCTGTATATCCTATTTTGTAAAATTTCTTACTGCAATATAAAAATCTACTTACCCTGGTAATTATAACTATTAAACCATCTATTTTACTTGCATTATTTTAAGCATATAAATTTTGTTCTCCAAACAGTCATTATAACTTCATTATAAGTGCATGTTTCAGTCAGAGGTATATCATTATCAAGTGCAACTCAGCATTCATTAATATGAATCATTGATGTTAATTAATACTCCAAGTATAATACTTGAAACAAAAACTTTGTCAAAATTTGATATTGCAGATTTTGATATCAACTCAGAATGCTCTAATACAACTAAGTGCAACATGGAAGCAAAAATGTTACAACTATGAACATAGAGCATTCTGAAATTATGACTATCCTGCAAAGTTTAAGAAGCCAGTTTCATTACAGACTTGCTTTCACCTTTGAAGAGATGATGCAGGCTTCTCTTCGTAGTTGCTTGTTATAAAACAAATCAGCAACAGTGATCCTTCCTTGAAGCAAGACCTGCCTTTAGTTTACTGTAAGATGAAAATCTGATAAAAGGACATTTTTGGCTGCTATAACCTCTCCTTCTCCCCTTTACAGCATATGGTATGTCAATTCACAGTTAGGAAGATGGCTCTTACTGATATGTTTACCATAATTAGATGCCTTCAAATCTTTCTTACAGTCTGGGCCTGTCACTTACTATGATGCCTCTCAGAGCCAAGGAAGCCATTGTTCCAGTCTCACTTTGGAATTACAATAGCTCGACATGTTTCAATTCAATTCCATGCTTCAAAGGTTAGATGCTTCAGGGATTGCTTTTTTCTTTAAATCAGTCCTTCCTTCTTCAGACAACTATCTTTAGTCTTGATGGATCTGTTCTAGGCCCACCCTTTGTGGCATCCAGTTCATTGTACTCTTCTATTAGATCAGACAAAGATGATATGGCTTCAGAAAAACAGTTTTGTTCCATCCCATCTACATGCAGATAATGGTGAAGGTGAGCCTATGAGAATAAATTAATAATAATAATAAAAAAAAAAAAAATCAGCGTTTTCCTTTTTCTTGGCACCAATCCTTTTGGCTCAATAAGTACCATTTAGCCCACACTGAAGAGGAGCGTGCAAAGACTGTAGGACATAGATTTAAAGACTTCTGACATTCCTTGTTTAAATACTTAGCAACTTTAGTAATAATCCCCTCTGAAATCACAGTCGATATTACTGATTTTTTTATATGTCCATCTTTTCATATTGTGTTTTTGGGTTCGCCTGACCAAACTGTGTATTGGTTTTATGTGGCCAGGTTTTAGTAGTGAGGGGGAGTGCAGGGCTGCAGGGGTGGCTTTTGTGAGAAAATAACCAGGATCTGCCCCCATGCGAGACAGAGCCAGATCCAGTTGGCTCCAGTATGGATGTGCCACTGACCAAAGCTGAACCCAGCAGCAATGCTGATACTGCCTCTGTGATAACATATTTAAGGAGGGTAAAAAATGCTGCACAACAGCTGTGAGAGAGGGGAGTTAGAAAAATGTGAGAAACAGCCCTGCAGACACCAAGATCAGGGAGGAAGGAGCAAGAGTGAAACTGAGGCTGGGAAAGAAGGACATGGAGTGGGGTGAAGATGTTCTCAGTTTTATTTCTTACTATCCTAGTCTGTTATTAATTGGCAGTAAATTAATATTCCCAAAGACAGATCTGTTTTGCCCATGACAAACTGGTGAGTGATCTCCCTATCCTTATCTTGACTCATAAGCTTTTCATCCATACTTTCTACCCCTGTCCTGCTGAAGAGAACAGCTTGGTAGGCACCTGCAGCCAGCCAAAGTCAATCCACCACAAGCTGGTAGGCAGATCTGTCAGATACTGACTCACTGCTGAAGAAAATAAGTATATAGCCTGGTAGGTAGAGATCAATAAGGAGGTTACACTTTTTGAGCAGCAGCCATTGGAATGATTCCTTGAGAGGTAACAAAACAAAAATCTTGGGCTGTTACTTTTAAGCAGTTCCTTTGCAATACTAAGATTTGCTTCAATAAAGCAAGATGCTCATGATTAGTGGCTACAGATGTTATAATGATGAGTTGTACCTTTTTCTTGTAGAGCTTCATAAATCTGTCTTTGAGTTCAATGAAAGTTGGTTTTACACAGGTGTTGTTTGCTAAAGCTAGAAGAGAATGGGAATGGCCCACAGGAGGTACTGAACACAAACCAGTTTTCCAGCCCTCTTGATTCCAGGAGACAAAGTGCAGGGAAGGCTTCAACCTGCAATACAAAAATGTAGATAACGAAGGACTGTAAAGGGCACAAACAAGTTTCCTTTGCTAACAGTCTGAAAAGGTAAACACTTAAACTTTCAGAACTAACCAAGCCAGTTGTAACTATCATTTTGAACACAATGTTTTAGACTTCAGACTAAAACAGTGTCCATTTTAAATTACAAACACCAGTTTTGTTTATTTAACATATCAGGGTTTGAAAAATAAAGTTACAAACACCTATTTCTATAAAAGGGACTGCAAGCAATCTGAGACTTACAAGAGGGGGAGATTAATATTGTGTGGGGACAATCGGTCCACGTGTAGTTTAGGAATAAGTAAAATGCTTTATATTCTCAGAAATTTTCCCCATGTACCTGTTTGCCTGTAAACTCCATTCTGTATGCAAAGCTTCCCCCTGCCTTTCCTTTTATAACTACGTAGATCAATAGTGTAAAAGGTAGAAGCAGAGTGCTAACAACAGTTAACTCAAGTATGATTCCTGATGATGCAAGTATCAATGACACAGAGGAGCCTTCCGTTCAGTAAAAGCAAACTTCTACTACGGAACTTACTCTTCAAATATTTTACTTGCAGAAGACCTCAGGAAGGTTGGGCTTTGCTTTCTTTTGCATTTTTGAGAAAGGAAAAGCACAGGAACATCTAGTCAGCTCCCTTTATTTGTACACCCAAGAACACTGTCACTTACTCTAACTCATTATGTAAATTAATTACAGTTTCTTCCCTTCTGAAAAGATGAAAGCTATTTTCGAGTAAACTAATTTGGTATTTGTCCTGGGTTCAGCAGTAGCAGTTATCTTCCTCCTTCTTCGTAGCTGGTGCAGTGCTGTGTTTTTGACTTTCAACCTGGGAACTGTGCTGATAACACTGATGTTTTTAGTTGTTGCTCAGTAATGTTTACTCTTACCAAGGACTTTGTGAGTCTCATGCTCTGCCAGGAGGAAGCAGAGACAGGACACCTTACGCAAATTAGCCAAAGACGTATTCCATACCACACCACGTCATGTCCACTATATGAACTGGGGGTAGTTACCCGGAAGGGCTAGGTCACTGCTTGGGTCAGGCTGGGTATCAGTTGGCAGGTGGCAAGTGGTTGTATTCTCTTCCCTTGTTATTTCCCTTATCATTATTATCATTGGTAGCAGCAGTGATTTGTGTTATACCTTAGTTACTGGGCTGTTCTTATCTCAACCTGTGGGAGTTACATTCTTTCGATTCTCCCGAGCGGGGGAAGGAAGGTGGGGGAGTGAGCAAGGGCTGCATGGCCGAGTTGCTGACTGGGCTTAAACCACAACAGTACTGAAATTCTTAAAATGAAAATTGAGAATGTTCTGGACAACTGACAACAGCTTCAAAACCAAACCCCATGACTACTTTCTGTGGTATTACAAACCTTTCAATATTTCTGCGAAGGTCTGAAACCTGCACATTTCCTCGAACAAGAAGTGCACAGGCAAGGTAGAGGCTGTGCTTTGGATCTGCTTGAATTAGTTGATGATCTCTGCTGAAAGCATCTGAAAACATCTGGTCCAACCTAGGTGAAAACAGTTATGTACTCTTACTAAAGCTGGGTACAAGAGTTCTTCAGAATGCCCCCCCCCTTCAGGGTTTAAAAGTTCATAAAATTCTAGAGATAAAAATACATTTAACCTGGGACCATGAATGACAGGAAAAAGATTCAAACCCTTTTATGCACATAACGTTGGCAATATAATTTTTAAAAACACACCAGATCCATCTTCCCCCCTCTTCTCCCTCATGTTACAAGCCACCGTTCAGTCCAAAGTCAAAAAGCCAGAGAAGTGAACAGACTAAGAGATCTTTATTATGGCAATTTTGGGTCAATGGTCACAAAGTATTAAAAAATATGTAAAGGGACGTAACTACTTCAGGCTCAGGTTACATGAAAATTTAAGTAGACAATCTCACTGCTTGCGAAGGATCTCACAAGAAACACCGAAGTGCTGCTGACCCTGACAGAACTGCTATACATCATTATTTAAAAGGATCAATGAATTCGACAACTGCATTCATTTTAATTAATATCCAAGTTACTCTTTCCATTTGTTCCAAATTCTCTGCATCCATTACCTCTATT